TTGTGGAGTGAGCTTTTGTTGTGCAATCGCCTTCTCTTCACGCGATCGCGTCTCGTGTCGATATTTTCGAGACAGGGTTGAGCGCACAACCTTATGTTTTTTAGCCAGCGCTGTCCACGGGATCTTATTGCATGGTATCATAGAGTCTATCTCTTCAAAGGCAGATTTCATAGTCATTGTGGCGTTGAGTAATTGTACAGTGAAGTATGGGTACAAAAAGGTGGTTCGGCGCATTACGCGAATCCGCGCATTACGCGCACGGACACGGTAATTAACAGACCCTGTAGATAGCAATCCAGCACAGTATTCCATCGACCCGATAGTCCTACGTTATCGTTCACCTTAGCCATCAGTATTCTACAGCGGTCCACACCACTACATCTTAGACCGAGGACGTGCAGGAGAAGTGTCGGCGCGAGGGTCGGAGGACATCTTGGGTAGTAAGCTTGCAGGCTTGATAGCATTGAGGAAGAGCTTCTAAAAGGTCGACAGGTAGGAGAGAGGATTACTAAGATTCCAGCATCGCCCGCGCAATCGAAGTGAATGCACACGCCCTACAAACCAACTCTTGATGTAAGACACACCGAGCGCTTGATGTATAATACATCCGCTCTTGGTGTATGATACACCAAACATTGATGTACAGTACATCTTGTACTGACCATTTACATCGAGATGGGTATTAAAGGGGGGAGGCCTGGGCATCAGAGAAGTGGGAGAGGGAAAAGGAAGGGGTTTGCTACGTCATCCCCTCTGTCATCCCCTTTGTCATCCATCTCTAGTCTCCCATACCTCTCTAGCCTTTGCGTATAAATAAGCTGCAGTTATCCTACACATCCTCCTACTACCTGTGAGCAGTGGACTTATCTACACGCGGGTATGATTTGGCTGAATTGCCAAAACCTTTAATAGCTGAGATCCTGGTGTTGATGGTGAGAGGAGGGGAGAAGTGCTGTGAATTTCGGCAAGTGAATAAGTGGTACGGAAAATCATGAACCTTGGCTACTTCCAAGACCGATAGGTCGCTGAAGATCTCCGGCAAGCCTACTGTGCCGCCCAGGCCATCCCAGAGCTTCTTCTATTGCGTCGACTCGAGACCACTCTCTAACTGCTTGATTCCCAGGAGTATGATGTGCACAGATACTTTCTACCTCAACTATTGCTGGATAACAGATGACGACTTGCATACGCGAACCAGGCGGCAAAAACGGATGTGGAGATCGAGCCGCGCTCAATAGAGCTCAACAGCTGCTCCGTGATCGTCTCATCTGGCAATCTGAATCGAAGATTGTTTAGCTCCGAAGGTACCTCGTTTCAAGTAAAGGTACGAAGAAGACCTGTGTTGATAGAGGAAGACATTTTTGACACATCTGTGTTCAGACAGGAGCGAGCGATTCACCTTCCTTTTGTACTCGAACCAATACACGACTTGCGACTACCACGACGCACCAGTGAATGCAAAGAACAGCACAATATGACAACCTAGGGATAGGCAAAGCATGGCGACGCTTTATTTTGACTGACGCAGTGCAAGCCAACGTAGGCTTCGTGCCTATCATATGGGACAAGCCGCTATATCTTAACGAGACCAACGGAAATCCTATTGACAATATTAAATTCGGTGCTAACGGTATTGCGCTATCTGCGGACGGTGAAATACCTATCTTCGCTACAACTGGTGGGCGCAAACTCTGGTCTCGCCCAAAGAAGGAAGCAAGGTGAAGCAGGATGCTCCTGCGGCGAGAAAGTAAAGCGAACGAAGGTTGAACTGGATATAGATATGAAGAAACAATTGAACACGATACTAAATGGGGGCTACCCATCTATAAACGCCATGCTATAATTGACAACAGAGTCGTGAAGACAAAATCAGACAGACATGCCATTAAGCGCATTCGAAGTCTTCGCACCCTCTCCAGTTTCAAACTTGACAAGCGGAACGTTCTCAAACCCGTTTGTCTCCCAGAACGGCTTCTCTTTCTTCCGCCCACTACCCGTCAACACCGCTGTAAGACCACAAGGATCAAGGAACGTCATGAACCACGGCATCTCATCCTTCCAGCCCAGCCCCTTGAGCTCCGTTTGCCCATCCTGCGCAAGATAGACATGATAGTCCTCCGGCAGATAGCGCCTCGGATGTCTGCAGTTCCATAATAGCGTGTTGATGAGCATAAAGCTCGCTTCGAAGACCCAGAAGAACCACTCGTATCGTACAAGCGGTGATAGAGACATCGGGTCCCAGTTTGGTCGTGGACTTGCGGGGATCTGACTGGTGCCAAAGTGCTCGACGATGCGGTAGACGGTGCGGATGAGGATGAGTGTCATGCTGATGTACATCGTCCAGAGTGGTCCTTGGACTTTTCGAGATTTGATCCCAGCTTTAGTGCAGCGTCTGTGGAAGATGCCAGCAATGATACAGAACATAGAGATGACGGCTAATTGACAGATGAGGGAAGCTTTCATCAGGGCATGGCCAAGCTTTTGCTTGCTTTCGCCGACCGTTGGAGTCATAAGGTACGACACACCGAGAGCGTTCATGACTTCCACTATGGCAGAGAGAAAGCCGAAGGTCGTGAGGGTGCGCCCTGGGTGCAGTGGGGCGAAGTAAGGGACGTAGTAGAGAATGCGACCAAGAACATGGTAGTTGGCCAATTCGAGAAGTGGAGGAGCACAGTATATCAGCAGTGTACTCGCGATGTACGTGTCAATATTGTCGTAGTGCCAAGCATCGTATGCCCGAAGTGCGAAGCCAGCTGTGAACATGAGGGCGCAAAATGGATGCAATGCGGTAATCTTCCAGGATCTGTACTTGATGCATTGCCAAATATGGGCAATGGCTGCGACGAGAAACCATGCTGCGAACATGGGAGGTACGGCCTTGGTGGGTGTATAGAAGTAAAGGCTACCTTCGACAGGTCTTCCATCTGCTGCCATGATGGTTATGCTGAACTTCTATGTTGATGATGAATCTGTTCTTTGACCACGATCATCTGTACTTATAACCTGTTTCCTGCATGGTCACTATGTTCTTGCTGCCAACACTCCAAAAAGAGCAATTCATACAACGAACATCTGGCCAATCAAATGTTCGTACGCTAGTACCGACACGGGCATTAACTGGCCAAGATTTACACTGAGGCTGTATACGAAATCCCAAGGTTTGTTGACGTGGGTCCAGGTGAAGCTTGATTAGACTGCGTATGGCAGAGCTGCTCGACTCATCTCACGTGCGGTAGTGTGGCTGTGATTGTGCCTCGCGCACAAGTGGAAAGCTGTTCGGATTGTCTGAGGAACTTCCAATATCATCTGTCGGCCTCGCCGACATCTACATCCTCTCAGAAGCTCTTCGACAGTTGATCTACTATTCGCTGACGTATAGTGCTGCGAGCACCGCTAGCGTGGTCAGCAATTACGTCACCCCTCTTCGCTCTTTCCACACCTTTCATCACGATCCAACCACCATCACTACCGTCTCAAGGCGAAGTGAGTTGCACGACCGCAAAACGCAGCTGCATGACTCATTTGCTCAAACAGGGATTTGGGTCGGCTCGACCGAACAGATCAAATCATCGCTCAGCCCGTACACTAGACCCAGTTTGGAATACAGAGATCGAATTTGGAAAACAAGTTGGCCAAGGAATCGGGCTGCTGACACTGCCAACAACAAGTGGGGCACATCATAGCCCTGCCAATCACAGCCATTTACACTCGACCATCAAAGGCAATAAAGATGCAGAGGAACACGCATCCACCGTTTAGACTGCTACTCGGTCACAAACGCCTCGATTCTAATCTATGCCGCGCGACTTTGGAAGCAATTGTGCTTGAGTTAACATCATGAAGGAAGACGAAAGTGGAGAAAAGAAAGCAACCCGTCAATGCTGGGAGTGCCTCAAACGACGCCTGGTGTGCGACCACACCCTGCCGCACTGCAAGAAGTGCATCAAGGCTAGCAAGAAATGTCCAGGGTATGATAATCAGAAGCCACTGCAGTGGGTGGAACCTGGAAAGGTGACATCGAGACGGAGGAAGAAGGACAGCCCACCCAAAGTGTACACCATTAGGCCAAGAAATTCCCAACCCGTCGCGAGCACTATCCCTAGCCTACCGGTTGCTTGTTCTGAGGATTCCAACAAGTCTGACTCGCCAGAGACCATTACGCTAGACGATGGCCCGACTCTTGAATGGCCCATTGTTGAGGAACTTCGAATCACCCCAGAGGCCATTGAACTCTACAAAAATCAACTCGCGTCCTTACTGGTGCAGGAAGACAAAGCAGCATGGTGGTATAGCCTAACAGCGGAAGAGCAGACAGGGCACATCGCCCTGATGGCTGCAGAGGCCGCTGCGGGGTCCGGGGTGGGTGAGCGCATGATGCGTATCGGTAGCCAAAGGAAGGTCAAGGCAGTGGTGGAAAGAGGCCAGTACTGGGAGGCCGCGATGCTACTACAGTCCGATCGGGATCCCCTCGAAAAGTTGAAGCGGCTGTTGTGGATCATGGAGACGAATCAACTTCCTTCATACGAACATTTGTCGAACGAGACTTGTGAGGTGGTGCAGGCTGTCAACTACTGTATGTTCACTTACCCACGTGAAGGCTCACACTAATTCCGTAAGTCAACACTAGGATCTACCCAGATGTCAAGGAAACTGACTCCTTGGCACCTAACCCAGCTGTGATTCACTTTCCAGTATGGGCCTTGCATGTCTTGCCGCCTGCAATGCATCATACCCTTATCTGCTTGGGTCTGAATCATTTTGTACATTCGTTGCCGGCGGGCTCGAATCGCGCAGTGATTGCCGGCAACCGATCGAAGATTTACAAGTACCGAGGTCTTGCAATCCGAGCCCTCAGCGAAAATGTCGCACGGGATAAGACTCGCAGCAGTGATTTGACAATCAGCAGCATCCTCATGTTCATGGCTATGGAGGTAAGTAGGATCTCGTTGCGGAAATGCTGTCCTTCCGAGACTGATTGAATACCTCCAGGTTCAAAATTCTAGCTCCGGAGACTGGAGATCTCACGTACACGGTATGAAGCAGCTAATAGATATGCGCGGTGGTTTCGGACCTTTGTTACGCACGGCACCTTACTTGATATCAGCGCTGGTCATTTTCGTCGTGCAAGTTCCCTCACTCCTTGCACCAAGCATAGCTAACAATTTGCAGCATTGTGACCTTTTCCAACAGTCTTGGCCCGGCCGTAGATCAGACCAGCATCACCGAGCCCCTCGAGCAGCATATCAAGGAAGTGGAAAGAGTGTACAATCTGATCTTCCCTTACATACTGTGCCCACCAACGCTCTTCATTGAGATCATCCGCATCAACCGCCTACGCCAGGACGTTATGACCTCGCCCTTCGAGGACCCGAATCAGCACATCCTGGACGCGCACGACATCCTTGCCCGTATCGAAGCCTTCGTACCGGAGGATTGGGCACAGCCCGGTGAACACCACAACGACTGGCAGCTGATTGGATCGATATATCAGTCCGCGATTGCTCTGTACTGTACCATGTCGTTGCAAGCCGTTGCTGTACTTCCCAACAGCTTGGAGATGGTGACCATGCGCACCATACACGGCGAGCGTCTACTGGAGAATCTGAAATTGTCTGCACAGACAAGGTACTTGAAGAAGTTCTCATTGTTTCCACTATGCGTACTCGGTGTCGAAGCGGGATATCATGATCAGCAAAGCACTCGACTCTGGATCGAACGACGCTTAGAGGATCACAGTCGCCTTCTAGGCACCAGCAGTCCGCTGAAGGCGCGGGCAGTACTGCGACGATACTGGCAGCAGAAAAAGGCTGGTTGGGATGAATGCTTCGACAGTCCGTACGTCTTCATCCTGTGATGGAGTCTGGGATGGACAGCTACTGAAAATTGCAGACACACTATCCTTGTGCCAGCGGGTGTATGCTGATCCTTTCGACCAGGGGTCATGCTTGACGGAGGCAGTTGCAGGGTTTCTATGTTGGCTAAGTGTGCCTGCCTGAAGCGTCCACGTGCGAAGGCCGAATATATACTGATCCACACGCGCAGTTCCCTTCAAAGAAGATCGCGCTATCCGATAGTGGCCCATTGGATACACTGAGCGAGGCAGAGGGTAGTAACAGACGGTGCTGGCCACCCTTTTGTTTATCTTTCATCCCGCTGCGACACTTCCCTTCCTCGTCCACCACCAACATCCGCTACCACTACCCACAGTATTACCGATATCACACAAGACGGCACAACTTCCGTTACATGCAACATAATTACACGACACGCTCGACGCTACACGCACTGCGCAACTACCACATACCACATTACCAACTCAGCAGCACACCGCAGCCAAGCCAACGTACACTACTCAAGATGAAGCTTCTCAACCTTCTTATGGCGTCCGGTACCGCAACTGCATACGTCTTCACATACTTCGGCAATTGCCCACATGATAATCCGAAGCTGTACGCCGAACCTCCACGCACCTACGCCATACAATGCCAGTTCGATGATGCCGTGCTGTGCGGCATTCATAACTGTCATCGACCGCATTGTTGGACTGCTCCCGCGATTCATGTCAACGAGCTCCATGCCGCCGACATGCGTGGCGACAAGGCCGCTATGATCAAAGTCCGAGATGAGATCTGGGGTCACATCGAGCACACTAAGGCTCAGCACGCCCACAATGAACTCCGCCACCACAATAATCTGAACGAATCTCAACCTCTTGATGATTCTCAGTCCCTCAATGATTCTCGGGCTCGCGACGAGCTTTAGAAAGAGCCGTCACATGGTTGCTTAGCGTCTGGAGGTACGTTCACGCTCATGCAATTTTACCATTTCATGACTGACCGTTGACAGTGGAGTGTGGCACCTCCTTTGGTCGATGCTGCAACAGCCTGTGCACGATGGACAAGGGCAAAGGGTCACTCACCTGCCAATGAAAGCATTGAGTGCAGGTGGTACGGCTACATGACGCTAGGCGTCGGCGGTCTGATCTTTGGAGCTATAGGTTCGCGGGTTCTGGTATCGCGAGAGGACATGGGCGAAGTCTGGTACGGGTATCTCCGCTCTTTCATGCTGGTCAGGCAGCTTTCTCCAGGTTGCAGTTCGTTCATAGCAATATGACTCGCGTGTCCTCGTACAATGTTTTACAGTTCAGTACTGATACAGAGAGGAGATGACCTCAGCATTGTCCCAACCAAAAACGCCATTGATGCAGCTGATGACCTTACACCACTTCCTCATACACTCCTCATCCCCTCTCAATATCCCCATCATCTCTCCAACCCCTTGTTCTCCGGATCCTCATCCCCCTTCGTCTCACTAACCCCCTTATACGGCCTCCCCGCATACAGCATATACCCCTTCTCCTCAATCGTCCCGGCCTTCTCATCCGCCTCAGCCCTGCCCTGTCCAAAGGCGCCCGTCTCCAACTGCCCCTGCACAGCAATCGGCCGGTTTCCCCTAAATCGTTTGCGCATGTCGATCATGCCTTTTTTGCACTCGGCGTACCCCTTCTGTAGCTGTTGGCATTGTGTGGGGAGCGTGTATTTCAGCGGCGGTCGTAAGCAGTCGCCGGGGGAGTTCCGTTCGACCAGGATGCAGTCGCTGTTTTGGAGGCAGAATGCTAGGGCGGCTCCTAGGGGCTGTTAATGCGGCACCATGGTGAAGAGGGTTGTTGTTATGTGGTGTTAAAGCGATCGCATAGCGAATTGGAGCTTGGGCGAAGAGTAGAGGGTCTCGTGCATTGTGTGGTTGCCAGCCTCTGCGCATTGTGTACGGAGGTCTAGAAAGCGTGCCAACTTACGGATGTCTTTGCATGATTGAGGCATCTTGAATGCGTACTTGCGACTTCGAGGCGCAATGGAGTTTGGGCTTGTCGTGCCACTATTTCGAGATGTCGGGGATTGACGCGCCAAGACGCCGATCTCGAAAGGCCGCGGGAGGGCTGGAGCGATATCACATGTCAGACTAGACCGCGTGAAGTGAGACGTCATTTCCCCACAGTTTCGAGTGACGGGAACGGGATGGCTCGTGTCAGGAGAAGTGCTTCTCTTGAGGATTTCAAGTGTTGCTGTCCTCTCAACCGAGACTATGGAGAAAGGGTTCTGAAGAGCTCACATTGACGTGCCTGCCCTGCGACTCAACGCAGCGACGACGAGCATTTCATAGAAGGCACAGCACCACCCCGCTCGCCTGGGTGCCCCCCAAGATGGCCCTCCGCATCCCCTTCCTCGGGCGCCTACACCTGCGCGAGTACTTTGCCCTGGTGCTCTCTATCATCCTCATCGTCCTCGAGTCCGTCATCGCCGTCATCACCCTCGCCCTGCCCACGCCCATCATCAATGCCTGCTACCGCATCACACGCCGTCTGTTCAACCAGCTCTCCTCGCCCTCGTCACGCCGCTCGCGAGACAGGAAGAAGGGCGTCTGGGATGCAATCGCCAATGCTGGCGACTTCACTGAGCTGTGTGAGCTCTACGGATACTACTGTGAAGAGCACATCGTGCAGACCGGCGACGGGTACCTGCTGGGCCTACACCGTCTGGGCTGGAAGCGCGGCGAAGAGGACGAGCGCGTGAACGCCGGCCCGGGCAAAGACGGGCTGAAGAAAAAAGTTGTGTACCTGCACCACGGGCTAATGATGAACAGCGAAGTCTGGGTGTGTCTTACCGAGCGCGAGCGCTGCCTGCCCTTTGAGCTCGTCGAGCGCGGCTACGACGTCTGGCTCGGCAATAACCGGGGGAACAAGTACAGTAAGAAAAACATCCACATGGCGCCCACAGATACGAGGTTCTGGAACTTCAGTATGGATCAGTTTGCGTTTCATGATATTCCGGATTCGATTGGGTATATTCTGGGGACTACGCATCAGCCGAGTTTGAGCTATATTGGATTCAGTCAGGGCACGGCGCAGGCGTTTGCGACGCTGAGCATTCATCCCACGCTGAACGAGAAGGTGGATGTATTTATCGCATTGGCGCCGGCGATGAGTCCCAAGGGTGTTGCGAGTGGGACCGTGGATTCGTTTGTCAAAGCGAGCCCGGACATCCTTTACCTCGCGTTTGGAAGGAAGGCGATCTTGGCATCGGCGACCATGTGGCAATCCATTCTGTATCCGCCCATATTCGTGAGACTTATCGATGCGAGTCTGAGATTCCTGTTTGGCTGGACTGCGGTCAATATCTCGCCCGATCAGAAGCTGGCGAGTTACCCGCATCTTTACTCGTATACGTCGACGAAGAGCGTGGTACATTGGTTTCAAATCATTCGCAATGGTGTCTTCCAGATGTACGACGACGAGGCGCCGAGTCCGATCACCTCGAACCGCTCAAAGTACTACAAGGTCGCCAAGTTCCCTACACGCAACATCAAGACGCCCATCGTTCTCGTCTGGGGCGGCTCAGATAGCCTAGTCGATATCAACGTCATGCTCAAAGAGCTTCCTCGCCACACCATCGCCAAAGAGATCCCGCACTACGAACACCTCGACTTCCTCTGGGCGCAGTCAGTCAACAAACTCGTCTTCCCACACGTCTTTGAAGCACTCGACAAACACGCCAACTCCTCCACCACCACCACTCTTTCAACCAGCGACAAACGTTTGCGTTCCCCAGTCCACTTCAGCAAACCCCTCTCCTCGCCGCGCCAGATCGCGGGCATCGAGCAAGATGGTGCAAGCGACTCCAGCCCCAACGGCACTCCGTCTCAATCTGCGAAGAAGATATCGCAAATCACACGCCGTACATTACTCAGTGATAACGAGGAAACGGAACCGAGTCCGCGCTCAAGGCTCGCGCAGATAACGCGGATTCCGCACCCACGGCAATCGCCACGGAGTCCGCCGCATAGTCACAATACGTTCCTGTTCAAAGATGCCTCGCCGTCTCACCAGCGCACGCCCTCACAATCTCAGATTGAGAGTTTGAAGGAACCGACGAGTTCCGTATCGAAAGTTGTAGCCGTTCACACGATCGGCTCGCCCGCCGCCTCACAGAACGACTCGCAGATTACTACGCAAACATCAACCTCACGGCCTGAAGGGTGGTGGTCTAGCGACGACGTCGCGGACACAGATCCGAGCACGCCGAGCCGAGCACTTAGGAATAGAAGGAGTTTCGACTCGCAAGGTAGCAATGGGCGGCAGAGCCGTTTTGGAGATAGAGGGATCAGTCTTGGAAGTGCCAAGGCGGTCAGTGGCATCGTTGGAGGTCAAGGGCGTGGTGAGAGTGGTGGGGGTAAGGGGGTGAATAGGCTGAGTGTGAGCAGTGTGGGGAGTGTTGGAAGGAAGGAGGAGACGGAAGAAGAGAGGAAGAAGAGCAAGGCGAGGGTTAAGAGAAGGAGTGGGAGTGGGATTCCTGTGCCGGGTTCGAGCTGAACGTGAATACGTATATGCCCGCGTTAACCAGCATATATTGCACGTACTCCTTATTGCATCGACACTACGCCACCGTTTCTCGTTGCTCGCTTTTGCCAGATGCAGATGATAAGGCGTAGTTTGGTCTGACCTTGACGCCTGTCGTGTCGATCTTTACAGTCTCCAGCCTCGCAAGTTCAAGTTGTGGACATTGTTCTCGTCGCAGACGAATGGTTGTTCACAGCATAATAGCACAACTATTGGGCTCAAGGATGCACACGGTGACATGGACACGCGAACGATTTCCTGTGCAGGTGGCTCGGTCACATATTTCCTTGTTTTGGCTTAGCGCGTCAGCGTGGCTGTGTCTTGCCTTCTGCATCACCGACTTTCGACAACGGCCTTCTACTCCATATGCATCGTCCTTGACCTCCCATTGGACCTTGCACAACCACACGATTTCGGTGCTTATCACAGCTTGTTTGTTACTCAGTTATGCGCTCGGGCGGTAGCAACATAACTAGCGCCGCCACCAATGTCCAGATAATCTTTAACATCCTCGAGGACGATTGAAGATGTTGCAGTGTTGTATACTCACCCAAAGGAGTTTTATGGCAGCAAATTAAGATTGGTGCGCAGCAAGGATGTCGGCGTTGTGCCTTCATTTTGGCATGCATCAACTGGGCTCTTTCTCGAACCTTGATATCAGGCAGTCAATTGAGTGTTCGATCTGTGTATGGCGGCAACCTGGCAGTTTTTAAGTTCCAAATCATGTTCACAGTATAGGGTTTCAGTACTGGAAGTACAAGATGCCTTACAGTCAAGGCAACACAGGAAGTTCTACGGTCAGGTGTCTCGAGTACGGTCCAACAATAAATGTTCTCTACTCCCCAGCAAGACGTCGTCCCGGCCTACATTTGACTTCATGGAGCGCCAGCTCAACCACTCTACCTCTAGTCACTACGAGTGCAACTCTTTCGACGTTTGACGAAGTGCACAAACTTTGCAAAACGTTCGCTTCCTTCTGATCCAGACTACTACAGTCAAGCTTGTGTCAGGCAGATCACCAGCTCGGTACGCGTGTCTGAGCCACTGCTGGGGTATCAATCAAGATTCTATCAGGATCACGAGGGCATCATATGGCGAAATGACGACAAGCGTCCAGCTAAAGAGCCTACCCAAGACGTTTCACACGCGGTTCGTGTGTGCCGTAACCTCAGTACTACAAAAATCCGGATAGACAGTCTCTGCATTATACAGGATGATGCCAGCGACTGGTACGATCAAGCTTCTCGGATGGCGGATGTATGCGACAACGTCTATCTCACCATTACAGCCAGCACGTCAAAAAATCCAACAGGAGGATGTTTCAGCAGGGTCGATAGAATCTATCAAGGGCAACTACTCTCAGGGTACGCAGACACATGTACACGTTGTATACCTCCAAACGTGCAGTGCCAGGAATGCGCGGAGAGTTCATGCTCGTTCACCCTTATTACACCGTGCATGAACAAACACATTGTGCTATGCTTTGGTATCAGAACAGCGCTACATAATAAGAAAAAGTCTTGCGCGAGCTAGTCGAAATAGTCAATTCAGGGCCAGGGTACGTGAGGATAGCCTAATTGCAGTTGATCCAGTATCGAGAAACGCCACATCTGCTCTTCTTCGATGTTGCACCCAAGCAAGCATGGCGTTACCCGTCTTCAAGAAAGCCTGACCACGAGCACGACATCTGTACCCAATCAGTCCGCAAGCAAGATGTTTAAATTGGTCCTGCCTTCTCGTTGGGTCTTATTTCAGCCTAGCGCGTCAGCGTGGCTTGTTCCTGCCGCGCAGGCGAAGCCTTGTCCTTTGCCCCTCCATCGAGTTGTCGCGTTGCGAACATCATGCTTGTGCATCGTCTCTGAATGCTAACGTCAGCCCAATGGGAATGACTACACTTCTTTGGACCGACATATGTCACGGCCAAGACGACGAAAGCCGCTGCAGCCATTGTGAAGGCGATCTTACTATAGAAGACGCGGAAAAAGGTGCTTCTGATGGCTGTCCTCTATGCGCGATAGCTATGGCATGTTTGGAGTTGGTCAGCCCATGGTACAGACGTGAAGAGTTCAAGAGAATCCATTTCACCCAGGGCATCAATGTGGTCCTTGTCCCGTACAACAAGCACAACGTGAGGCTTGAAATCCTGTGGTATAACGAACGTCTGAGGTCAGACAGTAGGCGACTTGTTTCTTCTACTCTAGTTGCGCGATGCTGATGCTCACTTCAGGCCTTCCGGGGATAATATCGACTCTGAAGGACAACATTCCTCTGCGAATCTTGCCTACCACAACGTCATCGGACTCGACATTTTCCACTGTCAGGCAATGGCTGACCGACTGTCTTGAAAACCACCAAGAGTGCCAGGACACAGTATTCTCCGATCACGAAACGTCTCTCAAGCAGGTCCGCTTCCTCCGCCTTACGAACGACAAAGCCTTCCTGGTCCACAATACCCTGCCTGTTCGTTACGTGTGTTTGAGTTATTGCTGGGGTGCCAAAGCCAACATGCCGAAGTTGACAAAAGCGAACCTGGCTGCACGCCAGGTTGACGGAGTGGATATATCAACTCTCCCACGTACTTTCAGAGACGCAATTGAGATCTGCCGTAGATTCGAGGTCGAGTACCTCTGGATTGATGGCCTCTGTATCATTCAAGACGATGCAGATGATTGGCGTACACAATCAGCTCTCATGGCAGACATCTACGAGCATGGATATTTCACTGTTGCTGCGAGCAAGGGTAGAAACCCCGATGACGGCTGCTTCAGCAATAACATTTACGGGCTTGTCAAAGGAGGAAGGCTACCATCGTACAACAATCTATATGCCAGGCACGTCTTCATTGGTCCTGTGGATAAGCCAGACTTTCCAACTGTTCATGTCGTTCCGCTACTTGAACGGGCATGGGTGTATCAGGAGATGTGTTTGTCACCCCGTACTGTCCATTATGGCCATCATGAGATTTATTGGCACTGCCGCAAGCATGACAAACGCCAATCCACCACGGCTCCGTTTGGTGGATTCTTCTCCCATGTACATCCCCTTGATATATCAAGACTTCTACTCGATACCGAGAGCCAACTCACAACCACCTTCGAACATCGTCTACGCAGATCATGGCACCAAATGGTTATGGCCTACACGAACAGAAAACTGACCTTCCCTTCAGACGGGCTGCCTGCATTTGGAGCAATGGCGAAAAAACAGCTTAATGCACGAACCGCTGATCAGTATCTTGCGGGTCTGTGGAAGAACACCCTTCTATTCGACCTGGGTTGGAACTATCACATGAAGATGAAGATTAACAAGACTGCTGTGCCACACGTACCGACGTGGTCATGGGCGCGGTTTCGTGGACCTATAAAATGGAATAGCTGGCGGGAGGACATGCGCTTCAACAATGTCAAGGTTTTGGAAACTGTCTACGTTACGAGAGGTCCTGTGGTTTCCGGCATGATTGAAAAGGCTGCCATCATACTGAAAGCCCCATTGATCAGGCTTTGCGATATGCGTACCTACTACGACTCATCAAACGACGACGATGTTACAGATGACTTATTTGCTGACCAATTGGAACCCAGTCCATCATCGCCTCTCAAGCATGAAATGCTCTACCATGACTGCGACTGGGATGTGTATCGTTTAAATAACGACGAATATGATACCAAAACTTACGCCCTACCGTTGGCGTACGAGAAGGAGATGTTCGACAGAATGGGAATGTACACCCCTCCATATCTTCACATGCTTATGGTCCAAGAAGGTACATCCGTGGGTGAATACATCAGAGTTGGCAGTGTTCGCGTTAAGAACGTGGGACTGTTTGCCTCCACGGAGTCCTACCGAAGGAATGACAAGCTGCCAATTGATCAGCGGCAAGAGGATCATGAAGCGGTCCAAGATGCTCTCAAGGCTGACGCTTCGAAGTATTGGGAGATGTTGATAGCGCAGGTCGAGGCCATGGAAACACGTGTCATCACACTGATCTGATGGACTTATGAAAGGACAATGTACATGCGGCTTGATACCGTGGCTCTCCAGTTTGCAGGCGGCTGGGCGGCCTAGAACATTCAATCTTATTGCAAAGACCATGAGGTTATCGACATTAAAAGCGTCTATTGGGAAGATTTGATTGAGCACATCGAGTGCATAGACACTGCGATCGCGACTTTGGTATGAGTGCAGTCGCTCTCATTAGCAAAGATTACACCCCAGTTGTTTTCATTAAGCGTCAACAGATAACAAATTTTTTCCTCTTCTTCCGCCAAGTCGTTCCTCTTGAACCTGGTCATACTCTCGAAACGATCTACGGGACAGAGCATCTCAGTGCTGGAAGGATCTACATCGATCCAGAATTCCACGCATTCGAAGTCAGCGTAAAATTTCTTGCGTCTACAGCACGCGTGTTAACCTCAAAGTTTTCTGGATTGGAGTGTGAGAAGGGGCCTTTGAAGGAGATCGTTACAGAGTCATAGCTGTAATTTCTGGACCTAGAGTCAGCATTATCGATATCTGTGCGAGCCAATGGCACATTCATCTGTTGTCTGTCTGCATTCGTGTGGTGTTGCGCACTTCAGCTGAAGCTAGGTTACTAGAGCTGAACTGGACCCTGGTGATACGGCGTCATTGCAGCGTGACAGCCGCAAGTTAACCTGGCAAGGCGCACTTAGGTGGGATAACTGTCCTGGTATTCGTCTGAAATTTGTCCGAACTATTGGCCTTGGATGCAGGAGCACCATTAGGGCGATCGACTGACGACGAGCATGTGGGGAAGACATTGATCGCACGGTGTAAGGTGATCGCAGAATATCGTTGTACTGTGATGTTTTGAGTTGCGATGAAGACACTGGTCCGCTTCCTTGGATGAGGAATGGCAGACGTGACGACAACGAAAGGCGACGGACCAAGCAAGCTAGGAGCACACTCAGCTAGCGGGCTACTTATTTCGGAACACATGCACACACGATAGAATACCATCGCTACAACACACTACGATATCATCCTAAACTGTACATATCATCTAATCTACCCAGCAAAAAACTAATGACGCGTGTAAGGTATCGCGCTATTGTGGACAATCCACAACCTCTGCACACTCTAGTAGCCCAACCCTGCTGCGCATCATTAAGGGATCCAAGCTCTTTCATCCATCTATATGTGGCCTCGAATATACATGCAAGTGCTAAAGAAATGCAGGCGTATCCTCCCTTACAAACTTCCCTGGGCTCCTTCTCACTCCTCGCTCAAGCACCGTAGCGGACTTCCGCTCCTTTAGGAAGCGCTCAGCCATACGCTGGCCAGGTGTCGCACTGCCATCGCGCTGATCCGTCTCACCAATTTCGTGAGAAGACGCTTCCACGCTAGAGATTGAGCCGTTTCTATGAGCTAGCAAGCGTGAAGAAGTCTTGGGGTGCAGTGCGGGGCGACGAAGTTCAGATGCGAGTCGGGGTGAAGGTGTGTTACGCAGGTCGAATGCACTTCGAGGCCGCCGCGACAGCTTCTCAGGTGACAGTGGCCGTATGGTAACACGCAAGCTAGGGCGAGCGACCACTGTCTCGGCTGGACTAGAGGCGCGCTTGGACTGGCCTCCTTCTGCTACATTGACCGCGTACTGCGTCATGTTGGTCGAGCTTCTATTCAGAATTGCCGAAGAAAGTGGCTGCAGTGACTTGGGCCGTGAGACCAATCCGAGTAGCGATGTATTTGGTCTTTTGTGGCAATCCATTGATGGCGGTGTGATGTTTTCCTTGCTCTTCTGCGGAATCTCAGCCCTTCTTAAGGCAGTACTCGGTACATTGGCTGTGGTCGAGCTTGTAGCCGGAGCAGAGATGTCAGAATAGATGACCTTAGGCCCGGGTGTTGTTTTGGGTGACTTCAGTGACGATCCAACACTGCTAGTTGGCGATTTGGATAGACGGGATCGACTCGAATTCTTACTGCTCGAGCGTCTTCTATTATCGAAAAACGGAAACCGATCGTTCATCCGTGCGGAATTAGGGGTACCGTGTAAGGGCTGTGGACCAGATGAAGAGCTACTCGGCGTTGACGTCGAACGGTCTCTACGTACACGAGGAGTCGAAACGGTAGTTGCCGAAAGTTGCTGCTCCAACTTGAGCTTGTCGGGAACTTGCCTCTGATCCGGAGTTACATCTTTCATCACACTTGAGTGGGCACGGGCACTTCCCGATGCTGTGGTATTTTGGACATACGGGTCCTCAACTATGTGTGGTATATCCGTCTGCTGCTCAGCATCAAGCACTTTGCTCATTATTGGCTTCTCAGGTTGTGCTCGAGGGGTCGATGTGTCAAATGACTCTCGCACAATGACCGTCGTGTCTTCAGAACCAGTATGTGAGGTACGGATAGTCTGGGTCAAGTCACGCTTGTGTCGTCCGGAAGGCGTAGCGTATTGTCCCTGGATCGTTATATCCTCTTGACTGGTGGTCTCGATCCCCGAAACCTCATGTGACAGCCAGGCCTTCCAATCACGGCTAGAGCGTGTCGAATGTGGTCGATTTGGTGATGGAGTCCCAATTACGTAGCTTCGCACAGACTGACTGGTCAAAATGACCGCTGAGCCTCCATGATGTGTGCGCTCATGCTCATAAGAACTGTTGAAAGACATTACACTGTCGTTGGGAAGGATGCTGACGCCATCAGTATTCCGGGAGTAGACGCTGGGAGACATGGGTGTTTGCATCGCCTTCGATGACTGTACCGTAGGCGATTGTGGAGACGCCGGTGGCTCGCAGGTCGCATTCGCTTGATCCGGAGGTTGCTGTTGAGCGAAATTGACGGCAGTGTAAAGTCGGTCTGTCTCACGCGGAAACTGAGGGGTCGCACTCTCGTTCAGAGGAGTCTGCCACCTGGTCTTTGCCTTCGCCACTCGCATCTCGATCTGTTCTGCTGTTGGTGCAGATATCTTGACCGAAGCATCTTCAGTGACCACTGCACTTCTGGGGAACATTAGCAGGAGACCCAATGTGTAGGGATGGGTACAGTAGGACCAGTATGGCGTACTAACTTCTTCTTTGAGATGCGAAGACCCTTGAAGATAACCGTGCGGTTATCCCGGTCACTTGGTGATTTCGATGAAGCGCCTGACGAAGGGGTGTTCGTATTCGCCTGTTCGCTGACCGGCTGATCAGGACAAGGTGAAGATCGTCGTTCACTCGGCGTAACTGTGCGTATTGTGGACCTGATGGCTTGCCCAAAGGACTTGATCGAGCTTTTCTTGCTTTGGACACTACGCGCCGCTACACTTGCGGGACGACGTGCTGGGACCTTCTGCTCAGTAATTTCGGGCAGGTCAAAGTCTCTACTGGCACTAGAGTGTAGTTCTCGAACTGTGGAGTGCAGTTCCTTGGTTTTGCTGGACTCAAATACGTCGCTTTCTGCGCCTGGTGTGCGATCTGACTGATCAGCCGAACGTTCGGCGGACTTCGACGCATCGATTTCGCGCATAAGAGCTGAGAAAACGCGTTTCGGGTCGACTGGTGGCGTTGACGCTTCCTCTGCAAGGCTTTCCATGTGCATAGGGTCCTTGAAGGCCGAAAGTGCAGGAATAGGTAGCAATTTCCTCTTGGTTAATGCTGATGCCGACCTATCCGTGATACTCCCGATGCTGTCTTTGGCTTCATGTATCACCGTTAAACGCTTGATGGCGCGTTGTGTCAAGGTCTCTCCCGAGGCCGATGTTCCCCAGCTCGTGACTCGTGACGCAGATATATGCGAGACATTAGCCTCGCTGTGGAGGCTGCGATTGCTGCGAGCACTGCCTTTGCTGCTACTGCGTGACGCCGATCTCATGGGGCGGGGGCGACCTCCGTCCAAGGATGGGGTACGAGATCGCACTCTCTGGAGCAGCTCCTCGTCGGGGCTTGGTATGTCGCCATGGTTACCCGTGTTCGACACTGTGGTATCGGTGGTCCCAAAGTATTCGCGACTCGCTTCGATCTGTTGGACTGGAAGGCGGGGGGACTTGTTGGATGTCCGTCTAAAGACCCTCTTGATCTTCCTCTTCAATGATCCAGAAAAGGAACGTCTATCCTTAGCGTCCGATTGTGGCATGAAGTCGCTCACGGTGATGTCGCCCGCTGTATCATCCGCAAAGTGGTAGCTTGTGGAAGGGCCCGACGCGATAATTGATGAGAGACGTTTGGCCTTGTCCTTCGATTTGTCCTGCCTTTTCTTGAACGGAGCCAGGAACAGGGATGGCTTGTGTTTGATCGATCGTTGCTGAAAGTCCTGCAAGTATTTGTCTCGAGCGCTATCAATCGTCTCATCCGGCGCAACAGCTACAGGAACTCGAGGCACAGCAAGTGGCGATGGACCTGTACTTCGAGTCGGAATGTAAGCCGTCGGTGCAGTGCTCAATGCAGGACCGGGGCTAATTGGCGGTGGAGTGGTCAAATACTTTGCAGGCGGTCGTGCGATAGGTGATCCGGTCTGGACGCTGCTGGCATAGTACATGGACCGCGCTTTCCTGATCTGTTGCGATGTGATAGAAGAAGCTGCGCTCTGTCGATGAGACTTCGGCTGGGAAGCGGGACGCCCATACTCGCTGAAGGTGACTGAAGGTTGTGCGGATAATGGGCGTGTCGATGATGTCGGTCTGTCGCTGCCAGGCGTAGGGTTGAAAGAGGGGAACTTCTCTGTATTTGGTGCAGATGCGACGGAGAGGCGATGGGTGCTGGTTGTCTGTATACTCTTTTGCGGTGGTACAGATCGAACGTTCAATTCTCGCGGAGGAAAGTGGCTGCCTTGCGAAGTAAGTGACTTGCGACTCGTGGTGCTCTTGCTCCTGACGAGCTCAATGCTACGATTCGCTTTACGGTCGGTCGACCCTTGAGCTTGAGATCGAGCGAAAGCAGCAGTGGCAGCAGCTATGGCATGTTGTTGTGCCACACCCGGGTCCAGAGGTTCGACAATAGGTGGAGCGTGTCGATGAACAGTTGAAGTGGACTTAGACCGGCGCAGGCGAGTGCCGGCGTCGCTGGATGCGCGTGCAAGCATCGAGGAGGCAGATAAAGCTAAGTGACAGTGAAGTAGAGCGGTAAGACGACAGTCCAACGTAGCAAAGCTCTGCTAAAGAGGTGTTGTGTTGACTAGATGTGACCAAGGGCTGTGAAGGAGCACGCTTGGAGCATGCGCATATGGGGCTTCGAGCAAAACAAACACATCGTTGTTGCCTTTACCATCGTGGCGGGTGCATGTTCTGGTGTCGCACTTGCTTTGTCTCAGAGGGTCAGCGCGTTGTTGCGCCCGAACCAGATGGAAGGTGCGCCCAGGGCACATGGGCAGTGGTGGCGTAATCAGAGTTTCGATACACAAGACTTGACATGGGAAGATGTGCTGACTGTTGTTTGACAACGAATCTTGGTATTCAGCATCAGCGTTGGAAATGTACGGAATCTCTCGATGTTGAATGCCGGTAAACGCCGTCGTGTTCGAGCGCAGACGTGCTTGCCCTTCCTTGCAGCTCGAAAACTTCATCTTCAACTTCACTCTGGACTTCAGTATATGCTACCTCCTTGTCACCCACATCGATCTTGAAAATAACAACCGAGAGACCAGCAAACACAAGCATGCCAGTCAAGAACGGCAAGCCGAGCCAGACACTGCCCAGGCTCATACCCCATTGGAACAGCTGATTGAGTAACGGACCAGCGACTAGCGCGCCAAGGCTCTCCACAATTGCAATTGTACTCATAAGCTTGCCAATGTCGGGGCTCGATTGTCCGCCAACAACGTGAATCGACACCGACCGCATGGCGGCGTTGTAGCCTGTGCCCAGGTTATAGATAAGGAGACCGATGACGAGCAAAGCCGGATGTGCAGCGAGACCGATGACGAGGAACGAGATGGAGGTGAGCAGTATAGAGCCCCGCGCTATCCATAGATCGGCCCAATATGTAGGCAACCGAACATGCTTGAGTAGCACATAGTTGGTGAGAGGAAGAAAGAGGGCAACCGCGACCAAGTTGGTAGCTGCACGGAATGACAGTAGGTATGCAGCCTGTTTGATCTCCCAATCGTACCGTTTCGAAGCGTAGCGCACAAGTAGTGTCATGCCTTGCCGACCCAGTCTGTTCGCCATAAATGTAAACACAACCAGTGCCAGCGTCCGATTGCTCTTCAGGAACTGGAACGCACTCTGAAAGTGTTGTAATTGTTGCTTTGGGCTGAAAAAACCGCCCTTGACCTGCAGCTGAACATCCCTGGTGTTGCTCTCGTCATGTTTGGATTTCTCGCGCAGATGTAGGGTCTCTGGAAAGAAGATAGCGAGCAGGACGCCGGCCTGTTGGAAGATCAGTGCGAGTACAAGAGGGTACCAGTCTCCGCTCTCCATAAGACGTGCAGACATGATCGGCGCCACAATCTCGGCAATCAGGACCGAAGCAGTCAAGTACAAGAATATGGTGGTCCGCTTTTCAGGAGGTGCAATGTCAGAGATCATGGTGATGCCAATGGCTGCTGCAACGATGGGCCCGCCGCCGATGAAGTAAAAAGCTGACGAGAGCCATGTAAGCTGGAGTGGCAGGTCTTTGAGGTAGCCTAAAATTATCAGTACCGTCCTTCTCGCCTCTGCCATAGTTTCACTCACAGATGCCCAACACCCAAGCACTGTTCAGCTGCAGTCCCATCAAACTCGCAGTGAAGATCCACTTCCTGCCCACTTTATCTGCCAGCGCGCCAAAGGGTATGGCCAGGAAGATGCTGGGAATGACATCGAACATCTCTTGCCAGCCAAAGATCATGGCCATCTTCTGCTGAACTGCGTCCACCTTACAAAGCTTCTCAGGTATCGATCCGTCTGCACCAATGACCGAGGGGTCGCTCTCTCGATAGTATCCTAGGCAGATGTTGGCTTCGTATACGCGTGTTCGAGGAGCTTCGGCGAGAAAGGCGCCCATATCGATGATGGCTACGAGGACGAAGGCCAGTATGACCATGATCACCCATGGCTTCGTCTTTTCCGGTATTGGGTTCTGATCCAGAAAGGGGAGCCCTTCTTCTTCATTCGACTCCCCCGGTGAGTCTACCGGCGGCATAGCCATCGTCGAGTAGGCTTTCGCAGTCTAAAGAGTGGGCGTAGAAACTGTACTAGAGTGATATCGACGCTTCGGAAGGAAGCGACTTCCTGTTCAGGAAGGTGAAGTCAGGGTTCACAAAATAATCTTCACCCATTGTTACGGAGGCCGAAGGAAGTACATACTGATGAGATGATGACCTTGTACCACACCGAACACCAACTTCTTGAGGTGAGCAAAAGGTCGATTTTATCGATTTGTTGTCTCATTTCATCTCAAGTGCCTTCCTGAATTTGTTTCCCAATGCCTTTTTGCTGCTGTAGACATTGTGGCAGGCGTGCAGCCCTCTGTTGTCTCTCAGCTTTCTTGTGAGCTGAAAACTCTTCAGCTGGTCTGTGCGCCCTTCAATTCAGCACTCGAGAAGGCACAGTACGAAGGAGCTAGTATTTGGTGTTGCACCGCATAGGCCACCCCACCAAAATAGATGCTGAGCATGTCAAACTTCTGTACTTTCCACCCCAATAGGTCTATCAATACTTTATCAAATCCAATAAAAAAAATGAACTGGATTACCTGCATAAAGCCCAAGAATTACAATCCACCCTCAACCTCCAAAGACATCATATTGTGAGTTGAGCACCACGGAGCAAGCATTCATTGCAAGGGCATGCATGGCTAGCAGCCTCTCCCACAATGCTTGCCTTGAGTACTTTGATAACGGCCGCGTCAGCACATCAACTATAACAAGGACTACACAACATGTGCGCAAGGTTGCAGAAGAGGATGGGTGCAAAACTACAGACCCTTGGTGCTTTGCCAACTTGCCTGGGCATGGTGGTGTTCAGAAGACTACTGATGAACACAAAGTGCTCATCATCAAACTCACAACCCAAGACCAAGAGCACCAGTAGAAGGAGGCATGGCAGGCAATTGATGATGGGGGTTATAGTCATATACTCCCTGAATTGAGCATTACATTGCTCCAGAATATCATGTATGAGGCTGGTTATTCACAGCAGAAGCCTGGTTGGAAGCCACACCTCATGTTATGAATGGATGCTACGGGGTCAGGGTGTTGGAACCAGTTGAGATGGACACAGCGTCCCTGTATAACCCTAACCCTAACCCAGATTGCACAAGATTGCGAAGTTGACCATTACCGATTTCACGTCTATCGCACATAGTCGGGCCAAAGCCAACGGGGTCATGGACTTCTTATGCAAATTTGAGTTTCTGAAACATTTGGCCTTCGACATGTCGCTCGAAGATTGTGACGGCTAATGGAGTATAGAGGTCATGTGTGCCACGTGTGTTGGCGCAGTGCTCTTGCCCTTTCCAACAAGCCCTTTCTACCTCTGTCTGAACGACAGATACGTCATGTAAACAGACCCTGATGGCCCGGTGAGAGAGATAGAACACTGAACAAGAACAACAACAATACATACCGATTTTACTGCTTCGCGCGGTTACCCCTGACTTACTGCCCTGCGCGATTACACCTTCACTTATTGCATTTACTGCAACAAAGATCTTGATCATGGTTTCCAAGGTCGAATGAAAGATATCGAACATATCTCCACCGAATTTGAGCTATTTCGGATGTTCACCTTCTTCGACCTTCAAATTTGGTCATCAATGTCAAGCACAACAGTATTCTCCACACCCCGGATGCGCGATTTTTTCTTTTTGAGATGGAGGACCAGCTTGTGAAGGATATCAGGGGTGACGTGCTGTTCATCCATAGCGAGTGAGTTACTTCTCATTTAAGCACTATGATACAGACAATCTCCTTGCTATTACTGCATTCTCACAATGGTACCTCAAAGCAGACATAAAGCAGACATGTAGCCATATCAAGTTCTTGAGTATTTTCAATTCTTTGCCAAGTACCTCCAGACGGCTGCGCGCAAACCTCCTCCACCCACCGTGTGCAGCCCTTGGAGGCCACAATGCTATTAATCGGATGTCGCAACAATTATTGTCGAAGCAAGCTAACCATAGTCACGCAGGTCTAGACCGGGTCACATGCTGATGATTGCGTGCGTCCACCTCGCACACATGAGCTCCTCAACCGAGATGCACATATAATGCCTCTCAGTTCCTTAGTTCCGTCACCGCGCTACTACGTTACTATATACCGCGCTATCGTCACAAATTTGTTCATCACATTGACGTTGCTGTTATCTTCCATCGCTTTCGGCAACAGCAAACGCGTTTGTCAATGACATTCCTTCCTACACCTACACTGCGCCGGTGCACGTGCTTGGCACGCACAACCTCTTGTATAGGACAACCTTTCTATCTCTTCCACTTTCCCTCAACACTACCTTCTCGTCCGTTCTGCGGTGTAAACTCGATTTGATCCCTTTGCTTGCACATCTTAACGGGTCTCTTAGTCATCCTATCTCACACCAACTGCAAGAATCACCATGAGCAACTCCAGACATACTCCGCGCGGCTCTGAGAGCAGCGAATGGCACGCCCGTGCTCTTGCGTCTGGGAACAGTGAGTCTTGTGTTCTTCGAACACATACATGGCATGGACTGACTCACTGACAGCCTTGTTGAATGCCTCCGCTCCTGCTTTTGCGCCGCCGCCGTCCCAGACGCACGCTATTGAAGCTCTTTTGGCTCCCGGTAAGTTTTCGAATTTACATGCCAAGTGGTATGACTGCTTTCAGGGTGCAACTGCTAATGAATCCTGATGTAGGCCCGGTCACTGTCTTCATCACAGCTGAGCGAGAACGCACAATCGCTACGCCTGATAGCCCTCTATTCCTCAAGGGCGTGCACTTCAATCCTGTCGACTCGTGCATGTGGTATAAAGAGGTACTCCCGTACCTGTCGGAATGCACTTTCGTCGTCGCCTCCACCGCCGATGTCACCTACGGCGGCAACATCTTCGGTTCGGCGGCTTTGCCGCACATCTACAATGCGGTGACCAAGGTAGAACTGCCTAAGTTCTACTGGTTCAGCGGTGTCGCCCTTAATCGATACCACAATCCGTATCTGCAGATGTGTCGCAATCTGCCGAACCTGCGTGAGCTGGGCATCGCAATGCAGACCGCCGGGCTGACGAACCAGCGTTGGCCAGAGCGCCAGATAATCGCGCTTGAGCGTACCAACCCCGAGGCGGCGAAGGAACGCATCGTCCTGTCTCTGCGAGAAGTGGTGCATAGGTACGAGCTTGATGCGCTCTTTGCCTGTGCTGGTCTGCGTCGTCTCCGTCTGGAGTACATTGAGTCCGCCATGACGGCGTACTTCTGCCGCGTTGGCAACCCGGTCGACGTCCTTCAGGACGTCAAAACATACCTTGAACAAGGTTTCACCCAGAGGGGTCTGCAGGTGATCGTGGAGCTTGTGCGCGTGGATGAGAAAGCACTGAGATGATGTCGACAGCACCATAGTGTCTGGACGCTGGGACGAACGGGTGGTTCGCACTGAAGTACTCCAGGACATGTAGAATAGATGAGCCGACTGCTTACGATTCAATGATGATGACTACAACACATCGCAACATGTGTACTGCCACGTTGAATGCATAAGTGCCGGCTTCAGTAAGGTTGAGGTCACCTGTTGCAAGCATGATTCATGTTAGATTAAAACATCACCCGCACCTACCTTTGCATCGCCTACATTTCATTAGCAACATCCTCTCCTGCGTAATGTCTTTCCACGATCATCACGACTAGTTGCACTACCAGCGCAGTTTCGTGTATGACACGAGTTACAGTATTACAAGATGCGAGTGAACACGAGCTCTGCTAATACCTAACTGCGTATGCATCAGGTGATATGCTTACACCAATCGGTGGTCTCGCACGTGTAACACATGGTCGATTGGTAGTCGTGACATTCAGCGATCTTCGTGCGGCTGAGAGTATCGACCAATCGATTCAGCCTGATCTGCTAGCTCGACGGCCTTGCAACCTACTCTCTTCACCTATAATCGCACAGGATATTCTGAATTGCAAAATAGGCAAGGGCCCCGGGGAGGTTCTGTGGTAACTGCCTTGATTTTCGGAAAAGTGGTGGGTTCAAAGACATATAAAGACGTAGCATTGGGAACGCATTGCGGCTGTAGATAGGCATCACTGACCAAATCGTCCACTTCGAAATCACTGACCAGCATCATGCTCCTCTTAAAAGTCCTTGCTCTCACGTCGTTCACTACCTCCGTCCTTGCGATAGGCCGCGCCATCGTCACCAACCAGTGCGACTCCCCTATCTACCTCTGGTCCGTCGGCGGCACCGTTAGTCCCCAAATTATCCTACCTAAAGACAGCTCCTACAGCGAAGTCTTCACCTCAGACCCCATCTCTGGCGGCATTGCCCTCAAGACTACCTCCACCCCCGGTGGTCTCTTCACCCCTAATGTCAGTCAACTCATCTTCGTATACACTATCGACAATTCCTCCGTCTGGTATGACCTCAGCTCACTATTTGGCGACGGCTTCTCTGGACGAACTTTGCGCGTTCAGCCGAGTGATGAAGCGTGTGAGAGTATCGGATGGTATGATGGGAGGACGCCAGCGGGAAGTCAGGTGAGAAATTGTCAGAAAGAGACGAATTTGGAGTTGACGTTTTGTACGGGGCACTGTTTGCCGAGTTGGTGTAAGTGAAACGGTTCTTGAGCGAGACTGTTAGATGATAATGACGAGTGTTTAGCGACTTGCGGTCGTAATGCGCCGAACGATACACGAGCTTGCTGTACGCATTGTATTGGGAGCCACCATTGCGTTGCGCCGCAGTAGCGAGTGAGGGAAGATCGGTGCGGATGCTGCTGTGCATCTACTGATGCCTTCAATAGGTACTTGTGAACTTGGAGGTGCAGAAATTGCGACGCAACGTATGAATTTGAATCCAAGCTGAGGCTCCTCGCTCGAGTGTGTGATGAGAGTGAATGTTGCTGCCGAGACAACGTGAAGGGATTCTATGTGCACGGCATCATAGCGACCGCTCCTTCCTCTCTATTTTCCCCACTGGGCTCAACAACGACAAACACCGCCATTCGACACACCATCGGACAAGGCTGGTGACATGCTAAGGCTTCCAGATGAGCTGCTGATCGAGCTTGCACTGGGTGTAGGTGTAAAAGACCCTCAATCTCTCGCTCTTACGTGCCGCCGTTTGCGCCAATCATGCACGGCATGGTGGCCGTTCTGTTCACGGTCTTCAGCGAGCGAGGACCATTCCTAGATTAGTGGTACCTCAATATCCAGTTAATTCTGCATTCCCAACTAGTGAAACTCTCAGTCTACTCAGACTGCGCGCAGAGTAGGGCCTTCGAATACACTTTAGACCTCAGGAAGTTCAAGGCTCTCAAAAATCTTTTCATTCCGCACGAGTGGCTGCATGGATCTGCACTGCGTATGCCGTGGGCGCAGTTATCTGAAGCATTGCCTCAGAGGCTCACCTCCATTGTAGTCTGCATGAATGACCTCAAGCCGGATTGAGAACTAGACAAGATCGGTCGGTTTCTCCAAAACGCCAAGGATCTTCTCGACTTGCGAATGGTACAGTTTCGCTTCCACCGGAACGTATGGACAGTGGCCTGAACGATAAGCGGCTCGACCAAGATGTCGGAAATCGAGACATTCAAGAGATGGAGCAAAGCGAATGTCAAGGTGACTACAGTTTCCGGCAAAAAAACGCATCTAGACGCGTACGATCGTAAACCTAGCTGGGAGTCAGCCGACCTCAAGGAAGACTATATCCTTCCAGTATTTGAGTGGACCCAGAATGAGGGACTTACAATGTACAGTATACGAAGATATCCACAATGGTTCAGAGATGCCCTAGAGGGAAAGGGCACTGGATCACATTAAATGGATGTGCTAGCAATGTGGACAGCCGATTGGACTTTGGCAGAGTGAAAAATTGTGGCGCATGCTCCCCCGTCCATTAGAATTGGTACATGAAGTATCAATCAGAGTAAAGGTAATTAAGTCTACTCATTTGACTTAGATATCTTGAAATTTTTTTCTTCGATTTAGTGAAACTAGGGCAGTGAAAGCAACAGAGTTTTGAGTGAAAGTGCTCATCAAGCATATGACGTACCAGAAGGCTTTAGCCCCGCTGCAAGAATCTTGGTAACCGCTCGACGAGCTTGCATCACTTACTTCCACTGACACCATTTCTCAACTTGCCACCGTTTACTATGATACGTGTGCGAGGGCCGCTGTAGTACACTGATAGCTACGGCAAACGACAACGTAGGACTATCGGGTCGATGGAATACTGCGAAGAGTTGCTATCTAGCTAGGAGAAGACGATTATATACTGATCCTGGAACATGCTAGTCCAGAACAGTTTAAGCAAGGGTAATCGGGTCTTATACGGACCGATTGATATCGCAACAATACTCACCTTACTCGACCTTCCCGACGAGCTGCTTCTCAGCATTGCGATATCGTTGGACATAGCCAGATCGCGAAATTTCGGTATCACCTGTTAACGCCTTCGATGTGTCGCACAAGAAGCTTTGGTTCGAACAACTGCCTTTCTCTAAAGGATGCGTGGTAGGTTGCCGACATCTTGCATCGTCAGCCTTGACTCAAGCGAATACTCAGACATCCATGCCTCGGCCGGCCTGATCCGAAAATACATGTAAGTCAACGTCCTCGGCTGAGATGGTTACCCTCATGTACACGAAGCAAAGTTTGCTAATACCAAACTTTAGTAACTCAGACACATATCGATCATTTCTGACGAACGAAGGCTTTGGTGTTTGCTGCGACATCATCGGGGGTACCAATCCCTTGATTCAGAACTGGAAATGGATGTTCGCTATCAGAACCGAGCAAAACTTCATGTCCGTTGGCCTCTCATTGTTGATTGCTCTTGCAGACAACTTGAAGGAGCTCACTTTGCACACTTCCTCAATCGACGCGAGTAAGTTCTTAACTTCTGTATTGGCCGATAACTGTCATTTCCGGTTAGGTGACTGGTACGATCAAGTAGCCACTGTGCTCCAGCGGCATTTGGAAGTGTTCACGATCTGGGACTCCCGCCTAAAGCAACTCGAAACACTTTTCGATCTTTCGTAGCTCCGCAGGCTCAAATGCCTAGTCGTTCCTATAGACAGGCTCACGAGGTAGCAACGGGTCGATAACTAGGAGATGAAGCAAGTACGAACAAGCGAAGTACTGCCAAGAAGTCTGGAAACCATCAGCGTATGCGCCAGCTCGTGACTTGTGGATCCAGCTTACACAGAGAGGCTCGTAGAAGATCTGTCAGCATTTACTCGTTCACGGCTGGTTGGACTTCGATTTCAAAAGAATCTGTGGTCTGCATCATATGCATTGGGCGGCTTTACCACCACTGCCACTGCTCGGAGGAACTTCCACTGCTTTAAGACACGGAAGTCAGCGCCATGTACAACCAAGGCAACGGTCGGTACCCTGAAATCTGACGTTGATCAGTTTTTCTCCCGGGGCAACGAGACGAGAACGAGTACTACTATTGGCACAGAGTAAATCTCAGGTGCCATGACCTCATTCCTTCCATAGAACTCTGTGCGGCCTTTGACCAAAACGAATGGGGCAAGTGCCAGTACATGCTGCATGCAATTGCAAACAGCGAGTCGTATGATGTTTTGGAGAGAATTCTGGCCTATGTACGGAACAAGTATGATGATTATGGGAGTACCCGTATGCCTACTATTCAGATGACAAGGTGTACAAATGGCGACATGTATATTAGGTCTGAGGTTTCTGGATACACGAGATGAGGGATTTCCAAGCTCCTAGGATGCTCCTGCACACAGCCAGCGCACTAATCAGATCGAGGTTTGGTACTGTTGTGCAGCGATGTTCTTTTCTTACACAACATGGGTACCTCCTGCCTCATGTCTTACCCCGCTTAATCATGACCCCACAATCCCGTCTGTACATATCATCCGCTCGTTCTCCTTTCATTCTGACCTGACTGCAGCCGTTCTTGCACATTCGTTACAATGGCGCTCTCAGAGATCTTGAGCAACTGCTCAGCTCAGGCAATCGTGTTCCCGACGATTTTTGGCGCCAAATTCTTGTCTGTACAAGCTTCCCTCGTGCAAAACTACTCCCTGAGCATCCTTGTCGAGGACTACCGGCTTTACCGCGACGATAACTTTGGCAGGAACATGAGCTTCTGCAACGTCACTCTCTCCCATACACATCCAGGACAGGACGACATCGCTATTTCGCAGGTCTGGCTACCAGTCCAGCCAGAATGGAATGGGCGACTCAAGATGGTAGGGGGTGGTGGATGGATTGCTGGGCTGGACTGGTTCACCGATCTTACTATGTCTGTCGCCGTAGCGGATGGCTATGCGACAGTGACCACAAATGGTGGCGTCTCTCTTGATGGTCCAGATGAGTGGGCGCTACTGAGTCCAGGTAATCTCGACTTGCTGGCTCTACAAAACTTCGCCTACGTGACCTTGAAAGACGCCGCGTTAGCCGCTAAGAGTGTCATCAACAGCTTCTTCGGACGACTAGCAAGCTTTTCGTACTTCGACGGATGCTCACAAGGAGGGAGACAAGGGCTCATGTTCGCTCAGCGATACCCTGACATATTCGATGGCATCCAGGCTGCAGCTCCAGCAATCCATACCGAATTCATCATTGCCGCACATTTTCCACAGCAGGTCATGAACGAGATGAAAGAGTATCCACATCCCTGCGAGATCGATGCCTTGACCAACTTTGCTATCGAGTCGTGCGACGGTCATGATGGACTTCTCGACGGCATCATTTCAGATGAGGACGCTTGTTGCTTCGACCCATACACTGCTGTCGGCAGAGACCTGAACTGCAGCTCGCCTTCCGCCCCAAAGACCATATCAAATTTTGCAGCGATTGTCGCCGATGCAGCTTGGAACGGTGCGCGCAGGGCTGATGGAACGTTCCTCTGGCACACCATGGGTCACCAGACTAACCTCACCAAATTAGGCGGTCTTGCAAGGACAGTTTGCTCATCCAAAGGGACTTGCATTGGCGTAGGAAGCCCCTTGCTGACAACCGCGATCCGGTTGTTCGTAAAAAAAGACCCCGGCTTTGAGGTGGGCAGTTTGTCTCGTCGAGAATACGAACAGGTCTTCCGAGCAGCTATTGTCGAGTTTGACTCAATTATCGGTACAAGGTCACCGGATCTGTACGAGTTTAAATTATCAGGAGGCAAGATGCTCACATACCACGGTCTTGTATGTGGCTTGACGCTTCGTGGGTTCAAGGTTGACATGTTCGTAGGCTGATGACATCATCCCATTTCGAGGTTCTCGTCAATACTACGACGCGGTGACGGCCATCCATCCTGATGTGCATGACTTCTATCGTCTCTTCGAAGCCCCCGGTCTTGGCCATTGCGCGGGTGGTGTGGGGGGCTATCCTGCCAGGTCGTTCGAGGCATTGGTCGATTGGGTGGAGAATGGGATTGCGCCGGACGCGCTTCAGGCTATCGACATCACCAACCGCACAAGCCTGCTCTGTCCTTATCCCAACAGGGCCTTATTCACTGGCGTTGGACCCGAGTACAGCGCAGTAAATTTCGTGTGTAAGTGATGAGATCGGTGACAAATGGGGTTGACGATAGGGCCAATGGGGAGCGGAGCGGCTCTAATCAGTACTAGTGCTGCGCTACCGTGTCCGTGCTCGCAATGTGCATGCGCCGCAACGCGCATCTTGGCATAATAACAGTATACTTTCTACCTCCCCTATCTCAATGCCACAATGTCTGTGAAGGAAGCCGTTGCAGAGGGACGTGCAACTTGTCATTGCAATGATTTCTCATATACCAAACTTGCTGATAAACATGGTGTAACGTGCTCAACTCTGATGCAACAATTGAATGGGGAATGCGCATCAAAAGAGGACCAGGCACTCAGCCAATGATTGATGCACCCACACAATGAGGCAGAGCTAGTGCAGTACATCAGAGGACTCACAGAGCAACACCTTATGCCTACAAGGCAAATGCTGAAGAATTTCACAGCTCCAGTTATCAGAAGAGAGCCTAGCAACTCCTGGGTGTTGAAGTCGTGTCTTAAGCAAAGCTCATAGACACTATTCAATTGGTTCTCGGGGATGAGCAGAGGTACAGAAAGCCGTTGGGGGTTGGTTATCACTGAGCGAGCTCGGAGCGGCAGAGGTTTGACCGTGATAAACCGCCGTGATAATCAGGGGGTAGTTGTCTAGTCAAAGACCATGGCAACTGGTTGCAATGAGTAGTACAGAGTATACTGTCTGGCTCGAGAGCAGGTGAGATTCCAATAACAAAGTTGATTGATGAGG